TTAAAATGCATGTTCATAAATAACAATAATAATAATACACATAATGGACATAAATATTACTTGGCTGACTTGTTAGTTGTCTCAACCCCCTGAAAAAATCCTGGTTACGTTACTAGTACAAACATGCAGCGTATATTGTTTTTGACATATGTATTGTATATTATTTAATTGTGTTTTACAATATTTATGATATTTCTGTTTGCTATTTTAGTTGGGGACCTATCTATATTACTACTCTCTAACTTTGGGTTCTACACCTGCTCCCGGTGACATATGGGCATCAGTCGCCGCTCCTGTGCCAATGGACAGTGTGTTCATATATAGACCTGACAAACGACAGCAATTATGGAGATTTATGTTGTACATGTTCTTACATGTTGGGTAAGTTTTTAAAGTTTTGCTTTAAAATCTTTTGTTCGATACGAATAATGAATTTAGTATTAGGTATTTACATATTTTTAGTAGGGTATTCACTTATATACGAATCTACCTATAAAAATGTATTGTGATTCATGTTATATATACGTTTTTAACTGTGATTGATATTTTYAGTTGGGTCCATCTGATATTCAATTTGACCGTCCAATTGCTTGTGGGTCTTCCATTAGAAATGGTGCATGGTTCACTCCGGATAGGGGTCGTGTACATGGCTGGTGTGTTAGCAGGTATGTGTTGGACTTAAAGAGCTTCATATTATGAACATTGTATAGTGTAATGTCATACAACTTTCGAAAAAGCGATTGAAATATAAAATTCAATTTTGTGTTTTATCACATATGTTGTATTCTAGGTTCCTTAGCTACGTCGGTCTTTGATAGTAACGTGTATCTCGTTGGTGCTTCGGGTGGAGTGTATGCTTTATTGGCTGCTCATTTAGCTAACGTTATGTTGGTAAGATCATTAAATTTTATTTTATTAGTTTTTAAACTTATCCAATAAAAATATATTAAATTATTAAATAAGAAAATATGCAAAAATRTACCGAAATAAAACTGATTTTGTGTATTTTTGTAAATAATATACCATATTAATTTAATTTATTAGATTTAGTCTTAAAATAATAATATAATATAATATTTTATCAGATGTCATACATTTTAAATCACCTCTTTTTCTACCTATATGATAGACATAATTTAAGTTCAACTTGAATCTAAATGCCTCCGGCAGATAACTAAAGCCCCTTTTTATGTGTCGAATGATATACCCTCCACATGCAGGGACCTCCTCATTCCGACAGTTAAAAACGTCACCAAAACTCTTTACAAACGTTTCCACCTCAAATTTTCAAATAACCAAAACCCCTCCTTTTGAACAATCCCGGGTGACCCTGGCCGACGTTAAAAGCGTAGCTAGTGCTGTAATCTGTTAGTAGACTAATTAACTAGTGCACTAATCACTACTATCCCGCCATGAAGTGCTATTTTTAAAATAGCTTCTTCATTCAAGCCAACAAGGGCCTATTATATACCCCTCCATTGTCCTTATTGTAAATTTCTCTTACAGATTGTACAAATTCAATAAATATGTTGAAAAAAAAGAAAAAAAGTATAACTTGAAAGAAGGAATAAATGTTTTCATTTTATTTTTAGTCTAAATAAATAGTTTAATATTATATTAAAATAAAAAGGATCATGTCGATGTGAACACG